TTTTTTTTTTTGGAGTACAAGCAACAGTCTAAACTAGAGGGGAGAATAATTTATCACACACATGCACACACAACTATGATGTCATGGGGATTCGAAGCTAAGACCTCTGATCTACAAGTCAATGACCTTTTTCACTGGGCTAGACGTGTTGATGGTACTCAAGAGCTCTTAAACCACTCTAGGATATGCTATTTTTTCCGATATGAGATCTTGAATCCTAAGCCATTTATTGAGTTTTATTTTTTGGGTTAATTGTATTTCAAGAATATCTTTGCGTAAATTCATTTATGAGTAATTAAGATTTAATAATATTTATTTTTTAGTATTAAAAGAAGTCTCAAGTTTGAAACCATTTTTCCCAAATAGAACGAACAAAAGTGATAATTCGGGTAGATAGACAAAGTGAATTTTTTTACAATGCAAAACTTAATTTTACCCCTTGAATAAGATTAAAAAGAACAAAAAACACTAATTAAAATAAAATAAAATAAAATAAAATAAAAAATTAATAAATAAATAAAACAAAGAAAAATCCGGGAATGTAGCCTTCTTTTTCCACATATTCACTTTTAACAGGTTAAAATTGGTAGCTAATTCAAAAAAAGCAACGCCAAGCACACGCCTCCACTTGTCATCTGTAGTGTGCCCCAATTCACGCCCTCAGCCGCCGCCTCTCAGTTTCAATAACACAAACAAACACAAAACCAAAACCCCAACTTGCTTTTCATTTTCTTCCTTTCAGAAAACTGTGTTTTGCCGAATAACCACACATTTCACACCCATGGCTGCTTGCTCCACTGTAGCTCCACCATACACATCTTTCATCAGAAACAAGGTATTCTCTTTTTGTTCAATACCCGTATAAAGTTCTCACATTTAAGTCTTAACTCTTTCTTTTTCCTTTTGTTTTCCTGTTTCACTAAACCATGTCTTCTGAAATTTGATTTGAACCGCAGAAAGATTTGGGTCTCTCTGCTTTCTCTTCCGCATCGCCGCTCTCCAGTCAGAAATGCAAGAGAACATCGAAGACAGTCTGTTCGGTCACTGCACCAAAACAATCAGAGCGCAAGCCTGCCACTACTGGCTCGGTTAGGATCTTTATTTCCCTTTTTCTTCGTTGTTTTGTGCGATTAGAATTAATGGGAATCTCCAGCTCATGGTTTTTTACATTGGGTTTTGATTCATTTTCAGGTCAAGACGGGAATGACGATGACTGAGAAGATATTTGCTAGAGCTTCTGAGAAAACCCAGTTGAGCCCCGGTGAGAATGTTTGGGTCAACGTCGATGTTTTGATGACCCATGATGTTTGTGGCCCTGGTTCCTTTGGGATCTTCAAGAAAGAGTTCGGCCAGAACGCCAAGGTACTTCATTTGTGCGCAGAAATTAGGATGAAAAACCGGTTTCAGTGAAAGATGAAGCTGCCATCAATCACATAATGCTGCACAGACCAGCGGCATTAGCCCGGTTTTTCATCCCTATTCATTAATAAAATGCTATCGCCTTTGTCTAAAAAAAAAACGAACCAGGGCCACAAACATCATGGGTCATCAAAACATCGACGTTGACCCAAACATTCTCACCGGGGCTCAACTGGGTTTTCTCAGAAGCTCTAGCAAATATCTTCTCAGTCATCGTCATTCCCGTCTTGACCTGAAAATGAATCAAAACCCAATGTAAAAAACCATGAGCTGGAGATTCCCATTAATTCTAATCGCACAAAACAACGAAGAAAAAGGGAAATAAAGATCCTAACCGAGCCAGTAGTGGCAGGCTTGCGCTCTGATTGTTTTGGTGCAGTGACCGAACAGACTGTCTTCGATGTTCTCTTGCATTTCTGACTGGAGAGCGGCGATGCGGAAGAGAAAGCAGAGAGACCCAATCTTTCTGCGGTTCAAATCAAATTTCAGAAGACATGGTTTAGTGAAACAGGAAAACAAAAGGAAAAAGAAAGAGTTAAGACTTAAATGTGAGAACTTTATACGGGTATTGAACAAAAAGAGAATACCTTGTTTCTGATGAAAGATGTGTATGGTGGAGCTACAGTGGAGCAAGCAGCCATGGGTGTGAAATGTGTGGTTATTCGGCAAAACACAGTTTTCTGAAAGGAAGAAAATGAAAAGCAAGTTGGGGTTTTGGTTTTGTGTTTGTTTGTGTTATTGAAACTGAGAGGCGGCGGCTGAGGGCGTGAATTGGGGCACACTACAGATGACAAGTGGAGGCGTGTGCTTGGCGTTGCTTTTTTTGAATTAGCTACCAATTTTAACCTGTTAAAAGTGAATATGTGGAAAAAGAAGGCTACATTCCCGGATTTTTCTTTGTTTCTGCCATCAATCACATAATGCTGCACAGACCAGCGGCACCAACAACAAATTGTCCAACGGTCACACCAGTATTCAATCCTCGAATTACTTTCATTGCGACCTTCTGAAATAATATAAATCAGTGCAATATTAGTTGAAAAATAATGAAGTAGAAGGAGGTCGATCACAAATCATTGCGGCCTTTTGCTTTATATATATAACTTTACATGAAAAAATAGCTTATATTTATATCCAAATCTGAATCACGCAATAGTAATTTTGTCCATTCTAAATTGTTAACTGGAGAATTTCATATCAGAATCATAGCGTTTTGTTTATGAAACAAGAAAATATTCTATTAGTAATGAGAAAAGAAACTTACTCTTTTAGACACAGATCTTCTAACTGCATAAGGCTCAGGAGAGCTTGGCTGCATCAACAAATAGCTTACTCATTATAATTACTCAAAAATATATCTCCCACATTCTTTGTGGCTACCACATTTTTGGAGAATTTATTTCAAATCTCAAACACAACTCATTGTTGATCCAGGTCAAAATCCTCCAACGATGCCTTGAGTTCAAGTCAAAATTGTGGCACCATGGTATTTCTATGTAAGGATTATGAAGGCAAAAAAGATTGCACTAGTAAAGAGAAACAAGCTTACTTCATCAGACTCAGATTCATCAGCTTGATCATCAGACTCAGATTCATCAGCTTGATCATCAGACGAGCTTGGCTGCATCCATATCAAATACCATTTGTGTTGAAATATAAGTGTAATTAGCTGAAATGTTCTGTTTAGGTTCTGTAAGTATGCTAGCTGAGTGTTTAAATATGAACCATTGAATCATAGTTCAATGGATGGCTAGGATCTTAAGCTGAGGTATGAGTGTTTGTATTTGCCATGTGTCTCTTATCTCATAGGGTAGAGGTTTGAATGGTTAGATTGAGCTGATGTAAGAGAGGAATGTTCTTATTCCTAACTGTTTCTATATCAAGCATGTAGTGTGCGTGTTTGAGTGTGGAATTGAAAAGTGAGATTACAGACTCACATTTTTTCTACCAATTTTTCATCTGCTCATTTTGAAATCTCTCTGTGTTCTTCATTTCTTCTCTAACTCCTGAGCTCCCTATTCTAAAATCCAAATCTGGAGTAGATAATAGTCTGCTATTTCAACATTATATATATATATATATATGTGTGTGTGTGTGTATATCACTTCAGTTAAGTGATCCCTCAAATAAGGACACCTTTCAACGTCATCTACGATTCCTTTTCAAAATGATCCAAACTTTCTATTTTTCAAGTCTTTATTTATAAATCATCATTGCCAAAAATTAGACAAATTGAAAATCATTTTGGCATCTAGTTGTGACCACAAAATAGACGAATACGGTGCTTTAAGAAAACACTAAGATTACAACCATTAATTGAGTAATTAAATGATTTCGGATTCAAGTGAATTTTTACATATAGATTATCTTTAAATGAATATCTAAAAGATAGATGGTTTAGAATTTAAATCTGAATCACGCAATAGTAATTTTGTCCATTCTAAATTGTTAACCGGAGAATTTCATATCAGAATCATAGCTTTTTGTTTATGAATCAAGAAAATATTCTATTTGTAATGAGGAAAGAAACTTACTCTTTTAGACACAGATCTTTTAACTGCATAAGGCTCAGGAGAGCTTGGCTGCATCAACAAATAGCTTTACTCATTATAATTATTCAAAAATATATCTTCAACATTCTTTGTGGCTACCACATTTTTTGAGAATTTATTTCAATGCTCAAACACAACTCATTGTTGATCCAGGTCAAAATCCTCCAACGATGCCTTGAGTTCCAGTCAAAATTGTGGCACCATGGTATATATGTAAGGATTATGATCAAGGCAAAAAAGATTGCACTAGTAAAGAGAAACAAGCTTACTTCTTCATCAGACTCAGATTCATCAGCTTGATCATCAGACGAGCTTGGCTGCATCCATATCAAATACCATTTGTTTGTTGATTAATATCCAATCCAGGAGTACCATTTTTGCTTTATATATATATATATATATGTGTGTGTGTGTGTATATCACTTCAGTTAAGTGATCCCTCAAATAAGGACACCTTTCAACGTCATCTACGATTCCTTTTCAAAATGATCCAAACTTTCTATTTTTCAAGTCTTTATTTATAGATCATCATTGCCAAAAATTAGACAAATTGAAAACCATTTTGGCATCTAGTTGTGACCACAAAATAGACGAACAAGGTGCTTTAAGAAAACACTAAAATTGCAACTATTAATTGAGTAATTAAATGATTTCAGATTGAAGTGAATTTTTGCATGGATTATCTTTGAATGAATATCTAAAAGATAAAAGGTTCAGAATTTAAATCTGAATCACGCAATAGTAATTTTGTCCATTCTAAATTGTTAACTGGAGAATTTCATTGTTCATCGAGGAGGTCAAAATCCTCCAACGACGCCTTGAGTTTCAAGTCAAAAATCATGGTATATCACTATGAAGGAAAAAAAAAAATAGTGCACTAGTAAAGAGAAATAACTTAAATCATCAGACCTCAGACTCAGATTCACCAGCTTGATCATCGGACCAACAAATAGCCTCACTTGTGATTAGACTCAGCTTGAGAAAAACAATAATTATTTATAGTGTGTTGTGCGAGATTCACAATAGTACGGCAACATTTATAGTGTTTTGTTACCTGATCTTGTAGGTATGCAGCCTTGCAACGCATTAAGACATGGTTATCCAAAAAGTTGGTGTGGTTATGAAGGAAGTTTCTATATCGGTAGCAGGAGGTGCAGAGATCGAAAGTGTTGGTTTTGCTATAGTTGAAGCAGTCAACGCAAGTAAAATACAGTCCCTTGAGGAAGTTGACTTTGCATCCATGGCCATCACACAGAACCATCCCAGAGTTGACAAGATAGTATAGAGTGATAAATTCCTCAAAGTCCAGCTTGCCCATCTCCGTTCGTGTCCACCTCCCGGAACCTGCCCCGGTGGTCGGTGCCGAAATTCTCCTCGTACTCGTCGATGGTTATTGTCCCATCACCATTTGAATCCATTTCCCTAAAAGCTCGGTATGCCTTAAATCTTTCATCTTCAGAGAAATTGTGGTAATAAGCTAAAGCAACCTGTCGTATTTCTTCCATCTCCCTCTTTCTCTTATATCTCTCTAGTTATGCAGGTAGAAGGCTTTGAGCCTAGCTCTCTCGATATATATGTGGAAGGCTACGTAACCCTCTCTACTGTTGTTTTTATTTTTTTATTTATTAGTTTCTATTATTTATTAATATGATTAAGACTATAAATAGCAGCTAGTCGTCTGTTAATTTTATAATACAATTTGAACCAGCTGCCAGCCTGCCATTGACGAAGATTATAAAGAGCGTGTTCATTTAATTAACCCATGTCAGTCGTCTGTTGGTAGCTCGTGACTAATGTCTCTTTTTTTCTTGATGTTCTAAAATATTCCAATTAATGATAGTATACCTGCTTGGTGTTTGGAAATCAAATCAATTAGAAAGAAAGTACAAGTAGGGTAAATACGTCTACTTGGTTAAAGTGAGTTGTCATTATTATATTTGTCTTTCATTTTCAGAACTATAGATTAAATTGCAAAAAGTATTTTAAAATTATAATTAAACAAAACACATAGTGGCCTTAATTAATTACAATTTATATGCTTGACAGTCTCTAAAACACAGAAAGACCAAGACAATTTTATTTTTTTTGGGTTGAACAAAGACCAAGACAGTTGACGTGCAACAATATCGATAGTGTCAACAAGAGCAGGACAAGAAAACTCTACTAATTAAGACCGAGGTCGCAATCCTTCCAAACTAACTTTAGGTGACCAAAGAGGTCGTTTTCTAGAACGAGTTCTAGTGCTCAGGGATTGCAACTTGTAAATAAAAATTAAGCAAGAACATGCAATTAAGTTGAAATTGGTACTTAGGTGAAGTGGATAAATTAAAAATCCTAATGAACAGATTTAAGACAACAATGATAAAATGTTCATAGTAGAAATATGACTAGTCAAGAACTAGTCATAAACCTAAGAACACACAACATAATATACATCCATTCATCAATCAATTCTCAAGCCCCTGCAAACCTAAAAGATGACTACGTGACATCCTAGGCACTCAGAAGGACCCATCAATCTAGGCATCTCATGTGCTAGAAACAACTGGAGTGATAGGTGAGTAAACATTTATCGACATTTCAAAGATAACATATATAGTATGACTAATCATCAAATCAATAACAGCACACCAAAAATGTTCACCCAAAAACCCATTGGGAAAAACTGGGGGTCATCACTCAGACCAGACAATCCACTAAGTCAAGAAGATACTTACACAAAAAGTAATCACAAGCTCAAACAATCCAAGATCTATTAAGGAAATGAGCACTACCGCCCTATACAACCTTCTTTCTCCTAACTTAGTTGAGGTAGTATATTGTCCTTCATGGAAATGGCAGTTAGTTCATCAGCTTCTTCACCCCATGGCACCCCAACTTAGCTCTAGATCGAACATAACAATGAAATATAGATTCTAATATGAAAAGGTCAAGTCAATTCCTTCAAGAACCATACTCTTGAAGAAATCAACTAAGAATCTGATCTAGACTAAATATTTTTCTATATTAAATGGATCAGGTTTGGGTTGAGCATTCTTGACACGTTTATTATCTCGACACGACAAGACCCATTGCCACGCCTAGTTTCGGCAAGTAATTGGGTCGAAAGCTAGGTTATCGGGTCAAGGTTAAATTGAAAATGAAATCTGAATTTCAAGGTATATATAGTGATTATAATAATGAAACTTCAAACCCCCGTAATTTCTTCGTTTTAACTCTGATTTTCAAACCATTAATACCTACCCGCTCATGAGCTCAAGCTCTATTTTTCTAGACAAAAATAATAATTTTCCAACTTCAAATTCTTAAAGATCCTTAATTAAACCACAAGGTCCAATTTTCTTTTACACACATTTAAATTCAATATTTTCAATCTAAAGATAATTGATAAAATACCCATAATATAATCATTCTACAACACAATATTATTTTTTTACCAAAATAAGAAATATAATATCGAATTTTGGTGTTATTACAAGATTACTTAGGACATATTTGTTGACAATATGTCACGCCCCGAATTTCTAACACCAAAATAACATGCTTAGTTAACAAACAATACAATCCGAAACGTGAAGCTTGAAATGCACAAAAATGTACCACTTCTTCTTTAACTTTTTTTTTTTCAGCATTTACAACACCATTTTGAACTCACAATGTTAATACAATTCATACTTTAGAGTCATATATTACATTACAACATTACATAATAAATTGAAACTTCAACCAATTGTGTAATATTTCTCCTTCAGAGCTTATTATAATAACGGAAGTCTTTTAGTTACTAGCAGCGGAAACTAAACACACCTTGCAAAACTGTACAAGAAGCCTCTTGCTCTTATCCTTGATTTCCCTCAACTGCAGAGTTAACCCCTACACCGTCGAATAGTGTGTCAGGTCATCATTGACAAACTTGATAAACTTTTTACAGCTCGTATGAGTAAACCACAACAAGTAACACATATTATTTTCGTATAATTAACATCACACATGCACTTATTTAGAGCACACATAGTCCATGTATTACCATGATAATCTTAATCACAACACAATTACAAATCTTTTGCTTTCTCAAAATTGTCAAGTCATCCACTGACTTTCAAAAACTCTCTTTCTTTTCAAAAAACCACATTTCGTCACTTTTCAACAAATAGAAGCGAGAATACATTGAATCTCGCATATGAAACACTACTACTCCCATCACAAGAGCATTAGTGTCGTACTACTCTCCCACCACAAGAGCGCAGTACGCATTCATGATCTCAAACACATGAACCAGATGGCGACAGACTAAAGCTCTAACTGTTTTTGGATCTTTCACCCAAGGGTTTTAATCCCTAATTGTTGCCACGAGACATGCTTCCCTTGTCACTCTCATGAGGAATTAAAGTTATTCTTACCTCTATCCATCAAACCAAACCATTTTGATCCCAAAAACAATTGAAATTTCATTTTCACATTAAACATTGTTTTCTATGAAAATACAACTATCACAACAGTATATATATAAATATGTGGCCATTCTCATATGAATTCCACCAATACATTCATAATATATTTTCACATGGTTTAGCACCATCAATTCTCAAATCATTAAAAAAAACAATTTAAGACAAAAACAAGTTTTATTTACCTATGAACCGTTGATCAACAAGTTCATATGTACAAATAATCAGTTTATTCAATAACCATTAACGTTCTCCAAACTCAAGTAATAATAATATGTAACATATGGTTGTACTCACCTTTGTCCAAACAATTCTCTCTCTCTCTCTCTCTCTCTCTCTCTCTCTCTCTCTCTCTCTCTCTCTCTCTCTCTCTCTCTCTCTCTCTCTCTCTCTCTCTCTCTCTCTCTCTCTCTCTCTCTCTCTCTCTCTCTCTCTCTCTCTCTCTCTCTCTCTCTCTCTCTCTCTCTCTCTCTCTCTCTCTCTCTCTCTCTCTCTCTCTCTCTCTCTCTCTCTCTCTCTCTCTCTCTCTCTCTCTCTCTCTCTCTCTCTCTCTCTCTCTCTCTCTCTCTCTCTCTCTCTCTCTCTCTCTCTCTCTCTCTCTCTCTCTCTCTCTCTCTCTCTCTCTCTCTCTCTCTCTCTCTCTCTCTCTCTCTCTCTCTCTCTCTCTCTCTCTCTCTCTCTCTCTCTCTCTCTCTCTCTCTCTCTCTCTCTCTCTCTCTCTCTCTCTCTCTCTCTCTCTCTCTCTCTCTCTCTCTCTCTCTCTCTCTCTCTCTCTCTCTCTCTCTCTCTCTCTCTCTCTCTCTCTCTCTCTCTCTCTCTCTCTCTCTCTCTCTCTCTCTCTCTCTCTCTCTCGCTTCTATTTGCTTGAAATGAGTGAACAACGATTTCTATTTAGGAGGGTGTATTCAATTAGGATTTTAATAGATTGTTATGAAGCTTAAAAATCCAGTGGTATTCAATTATGATTTTTAAGTAGTCAATAAAAGTACTATGGTATTCAAAAACTTATCAATTTTGAAGTATTTCATTTAAATGGTGTATTGTGTGAGACTTTTAAGTGGATAATATAAATACCAAATCTCATAACAAATCTCACCCTCCTCCTATACCTAATCTCATACTAGCAAGAAGGCGGGTACAACTATTTCCTAATTTGAACGATATGCTTGGCGGCTAAGCAAGAGATATGGATTGAAAATATCTTACTCTTATCTCATTGAGTGAATAAGCTAGCTAGGAATTGCACATGTCACCTCATCCATGAGAGATACAAGTCGGCTGCATGTTTCCACCTCAAGTTAATCTAATTCATGCAATTGATGCAAACTTGCATCTCTAAAGCAACACGTCCACTCCACCTCATGCCTTGCATGTAATTTGTCTCCACCACCTACTCTAAAAGCCACCTCCTAATTGCTAAAGGATGACTCTAGTTTTTATAATATCTCATCTTCATTAACTCCAGCTCAAGCACTTGCTTCTACCTATATCCGAGTCAAGATAGAACACTCATATTCTCTCCAAGAAAATAATGTAAGAATGTCATGCCTAAATTCTTCACCCATATTAATTTATCACAATATATATTTTTAAAATTAGTAACTTAGGGAGGTGTATTCAATTTAGATTTTAAAAGATTTTAAAGAAGTTTAAAAGTTTAGGTGTATTCACGATTTTATAGAAGTCTATTCAATTCTAGGTGTATTCAATTTAGACTTTTTAAACTCCATTCAAATTTGGATGTATTCAATCACGACTTTAAAAGAATTCATAAAAGTTTGGGTGTATTCAAAAACTCCTTGATTTTAAAGGAAATACAAAAAGTGGTGGATTTCGTTTAATAATAGACTAATTTTTGGCCATGACAAATCTTTGCTTCCCCCAGAGATTTTAATAGATATATTATTTTTATTCTCAAGATATGATTTCACCAATTCTTCTACCACAATCTATCATGACTATCACCATAGCCGCCCCGCCGCCACCCCCACAATCATCGTCGATGCCACCCCCCAGCACCACTACCACCTCCACCACCACGCACCGTCACCCCCACTACTAGCCCCAC